GGAGCGGGCGCTGCTGCGCATCGTGCATGACGTTGTACGGGAAGGGTGCCCGCGGCCGGACCCCACCACGGCGGCAGGCACCGCACAGCTCCGTCGCCAACAGCTACAGTGCGCCGGCGGTTCCGCCGCCGCCGACACAGCCGCCGGCTGCGGAACACAGCCGCCGCCGCCGCCGCCGCTTCCAGAGGCAGCCGCCGCCGCCGCCGTCACTGTTCCATCCAGCGGCACCAGCACCACCTCCACCTCTACGAAATACACGTACGACGATTTCACCCCCCCTGAAAGCGACCTCTACACCAGCGTCAGCGGGAGCAGCAGTCGTACAGGCTCGCGCCGTCCGCGATCAGCGGGTGCTAGCCGCCACGCTGGTGCCGCCGCCGCCGCTGCCGCCGTCAGCGGCGGCGGCGGCGGCGGCGGTAACGGAGCATCGGGGCGAGGCCAGGCATCCAAGGGCTCCGTGAGCCTCCAAAGCTCCACCTCCACCTCTACGAAATACACGTACGACGACTTTACGCCGCCAGAGAGTGACCTGTACTCCAGCGCCACCAGCAGCAGCACTAACAGGGGGGGCTCCAGGGGGGCCGTACAGCCACGGTCTATGTCTAGACAAGACTGGCGGCCGCAGCCCGTACGGGCCGTCGGAAACGTCCATGCCAGCGCTGGCGGAGCAGCTGGCGGCGCTGATGGGGTCAAGCCGCTGCCTACGCAGCTGCAGCCAAAGCGCCGCGGCAGTGGCGCGGCAGCGGCTGCCGCGGCGGCGGCGGCGGCGGCATCAGCAGCGGAGTTGCCGCCAGCGCCGCCGCTTCCGGCATCAACGGCATGGACCACGTCGATGCCGGCGCCGCCGTCAGCCCGGATCAACAGGACCAATACGCCGCCGGCACGTGCTTCTGCTGTACTGGCCGGCGGCGGCGGCGGCGGCGGCAGCGGGACGAGCAGGCCCTTGGCCCCACGGGCTCGCCCCATGTCTGCGCCCCGCGCACGGCCGCAGGCATCAGCGACATTCGCTATCGGTGATCGGGTAGAGTATATTGGGTACGGCACTGCTGCCGGCGGCAGTGGCGGCGACCCGCGGGCTTCACGCCCCCGGCCGGCGTCGGCAAGGAACCTCTTAGGGCCTTACACTAGCGCCGCGGCGGCGGTCAGCGGCAGTGCCGGTAGCGGTGGTTTTGCCGGTTCCAGCGGTGGCGGCGGCGGCGGTGCCGTACCCTCTGCCAATCCGCCGTTTGCGCCCCGTGCACGGCCGGCGTCACCGTGCACGCAACGCGCACGACCGCACGCTGCTGGCGAAAGCAACTCTAGGGCCAAATCGCCGCCGCCGCAGGCAGTGCCGTACCCGGCGACGGCAGCGGCGGCGGCTTCAACGCCAGTACGAACCACTACGACGTGGGATTCCCCTGGAGTCTCCGGCCATGTCCGATCTGGAGCCGTTACGAGGTCGAATCAGCGCCCGTCGAGCGCCAATGGTACGGCAGCTCGGAATGCCGCGAACGACTTTGCCAGGCCGCTGCCTAGGTCGTCAAACACGGCGGCCACGGCGGCGGTGGGAGGCCGGGTAAACCGTCCCGCAGCAGCAGGTGTGTGTGTACTTTGCGTCACTCTTATCACGATCGTAGGCACAAATACTTCCTCATTCTCCTCCTCGGACCTGAGATATGTATTTTACTTATTTATTATTTAATTGTCGCACGGCCCCCCTCATACATTCCTATTCGTCCTTGAGTTTATCCTAAGGGTTGACAACAGCGAGGGGTGGAGACGCGGGGGAATCAGGATTCGCCGCTGGGCCTTCGCAAGGAGAGCGCTGCTCATCCCCCCATCCCCTTAGAATGACCTGGTTGAGAGGACTTGTCCGTTATTCGTTAGAGCATCCCCCGCCCACCACCCAACTAATCTTCACAACGGCACCAACCGCCGCCACCTTGATGGCCAACCGCCGGCCCGTCCCAGGCCGAACGTCTCTGGAGCCAAGCACACTGGCCCGTCGTACCAGTGGCAATGGACGAGCGACTTCCGGAAAGGGCTTCGTCTCACCCTTGCTGCCGACTAGTGCTGACGGCACCGCCGATGACGCAGATGCCGTACGGGCGCGGAGCTCCGCACATAGGCCGCCAAGTGCAGCCGTTAGGGCAGCGGCGGCGACGATGAACGCCGAGGCCGCCGCGGCGGCGGCGCTGGCTGCAGCGGTAACGGCACGGCACGGGTCCTTGGGACGGCCGCCGCTGCCGTACGGGGGTTATGGTGAGCAGGCGTCTGTAACAGTCCACCCAAATCACCCAGCAGGCGTCCGCGGCGGCGGCGGCAGTGGCGGCGGCGGCCGCGGGAGTGGCAACGGTGTGACACACGCGGGCAATATTGGTAACGGGCCGCATGATTATAGCAGCGGCGGCGGCGGCGGCGGTGGAGCCACGTGTGCTGACGCCCCAGCAGCGCCGCCGCCAGAGGTCTCTCCGATACCGGTACCGGGACCGGCTTCATCGGGCCCCAGGAACCTCCTGCTGCTGCAAGCCGCCAGCGCCGCAAACTCCGCCAGCAGCGCGTCAGGCGCGTGCTCGCCGTTGGCCAGGTCGTCATCCGACGCCAGGCTAATGCCGCCGCCTCCGCCGCCGCCGCAGCAGCAGGTGATGGACAGCGGCGCCGCCACCGCCGCAGCGGCAGCCGTCTGGCGGACTGACAGCGCCGACCGCAGTGCCGCTGGGAGCCGGCGGCCGCGGTCAGCCTCCGCAGCGGCGGCGGCGGCAACGGCGCCCTCCGGCGGCGCTACTGAGCTGGAGCATGTACTGCTGCCGGCTGAGCCGGCGGCACTGGCGGCGCCCTTCATGTCTCTTCAGCGTCCACCCTCCACCGGCAGCGGCGGCGGCGCCGCCAAGGCGCCACCAAGCTTATCGGGATTGGAGGACGCTGTAAGTGAGGGGGACGAGGAGGAGGAGGAGGAGGAGGCGGCGGCGGCGGCGATGAAGCCCTGGGGATGCCTGACGGCGGCGGTGGCGCAACGCGACGACGCCAGTAGCGTTGGCGGAATTGGCGGCGGCGGCGGCGACGATGCGGAGAGCATGGCGGCGCCGTCACCGCGTGCCGTACTGGCGGCGTCGATGTCGGCTAGGGCTGGCACCCCAACATGGGGCGCCCGGTCGCGGGGCCTGCCAGCCGAGGGCACTGTGAATGGCTTGCCGCAATACTTCTTTGGGAAATGAGAGCTGTCTGGCTGCATGACTAGCTTGAAGGCTGGCTATTTATTTCTTATTACTTCGGATGTTCATTCTTCAGTTAGCTTGGCCCATCAGCTAACAATGGTGCGCGGGATGCTACTGCAACAGGTCGTCATTCGTACTGTCCCGACCTCATTTCGATACGTCCGATCCATACATACATGCATACACGCCTACATGCGTGGCGAGAAAGGGAGATACGCAAAAGACCGACACAATTTCCAAAGGAGGCCAAACCAGCGCCGCCATATCCCCCCCCCCTCCACCTCCGTGCCATTTGCCCCGCTACGCCCCGCGAATCTCAGTCGGCTCCGCCCTTGATAGCCATGTGAAAAGCTATGTAACCCCTCTACTGTCCGGAGTCACTGCTGCACTACTCGTCTTGCCGTACGGATGTACTGCAACCGTTACCTTAACTAACTCTTCACAGCGGGAGCTTGCGGAGGTAACACTCCTCGCCTAACTACACCTCCCCTTGCCGTGCTCTGCCCCAGACCCTTTCGCCCCCCCTAGTCTCCGTTCGCCTTAGCGCATATTACATAATGAGGTCCGATTCTTCATCCTCCACTAAATCAGTGTCGTGGAGGGGGTTTAGGATTGGACGGCAACATCTTCCGAAAGCTCCCATTGTCAAGCTCTCACCCACTGCCCCCTATTCCCTCTTCTCTCTCGGCTCCGCTCCCTCAACTTGCTAATCAAGATCTCGACCTTTCCCCTTCGACGACTTAGCTAACCCCCTTTCTCATCCCGCTCCCTCTCCTTCCTTAACAAGGTCAGTTACTTGGCCGCCTGACATCACAGAAATTATCCATCAGCGGACAGCCTTCGTCAGTAACTCGTGACCATGAAGTCACCTCAGTGCCGCACGTGTATGTGTGTATGTATATATGTGTTTTCTTCTCGGTCGGTCCACCCACACGCTCTTGATCGAGGCGGGCAGTTCCCCACCTACCCCTTGGGGAAGAACACTAGTGTAGTAGCACGAACACACGTCAGGTCATCTCACTGTACAGCTGTACGGCACGGCATGGTGCGGCCGTATGCTCCGAATCGAACGCGTCCCGTCACCGTAACGGTTCGTCTCCCGCTCGTTACCTTCTCTCCCCCACACAGATTGACCACTTCCACTCCCGCGTCATCTTCTCCTTTACCGCCTCCATTTCCAGTTCCTTAGTTTTACCCCCCACTCTCTGCCGCCGCCTCGATGCCATAACATCCACAGTCTTGGAGCTGCTATGTAGCAATACAGTAATATAATTATAGTATCATTCAGTTCTTCATCTTGTCGCACCTTCACACAAAATCTCACAAAATCACCACCCCCGGTCACCGTCCTCATCCCGTAGCTCATATCGTACAGACGCCAGGACGGTACAGTCTCTCTCCCACCTTCCCTTCTCCTCCCCTACCTCACCCTCGAACCAGGCAAGGGAAGCAAACCTTCCCTCGCGCCTCTCTTAACGCGCAAACACATGACATAACTCCTCTCCTCACACTACCACCGTGCCCGGCCCCCCCACGACCAAACCCCCTACCATCACGGTCACCACCACCACCATCATTACCGGTCAATATATTCTGTGCCAATCGCAGTTTCTACTGGCATAACCCCTGCCACTGCCTTTCCCCCTCCTGATGCTGCAGCGGCGGCCGCCACTACTGCTAATGCCACTTCTGCTATTGCTACTCTTCCCCCTCCGCTTCTCCTCCCGCACTCCTCCCGCACTCCTCCCGCGCTCCTCCTCGTCTGCCGCTATACCGGATCTGTGCCCCAAGTCCTAAACCCGCCTATTACCACCAGCCCAGCAGCTTCCACACCGGCATGCCGCACACCGCCCAGATGGCGAGGCCCAGTACCCCGCAGACAGCACCCATGCTGAACACCTCGTTGAGCCGCATGTAGCCCGCGCCGTAATAGACCGCCGCCTGGCCCGAGGCGTAGTGGGTGATAGACCCGAACAGGTTCACAGAGTAGGCCAGAGACATGGCCGCCAGGACAGGGGGAACGCCTGCGTGGATGGTTGGGTGGTTGGGGGTTAGACGGGGGAGAGAGCGGGAGTAGGGGGGAGAGTCCTATGGGATCGTGGGAAAAAAGGCAACAAGGGAAACAATCGCCGACGTCCAGTGCACCAGCTGCCTCAGGAACAGGGGCCCACAGGGGAGAGAAGGGGAGCTGGTTTCGGAGGGCGGGCGAGGGACGGGCAAAGAGGAGGAAAAGAGAGGAGCTGTGCGTTTGCGCACATATGTTTTCGCGAGCGGTATATGCAGCCCTTGGAAATCCACACCGCGTGTATTGGCTGTACGCCCTGTATATCGTAAAAAAAGACCTCGGATACCGATACACGGCTATTTACCAGGACACCAGTACCTCCCCCCTCCCCCACCTGCTGCCAGCATCATTGCGCAGAAGGCGCTGTACAGAGCCCCCACGTGCGCGGTCTGAGAGGCGAACATGTAGTGGATACCGAAGAAGGCCGCATGCAGCAATCCGAAGATGGGCAACCAGCCCATGTTGAGACCTATGGGGCGGCGGCGGACGGTACGGGCAGGCAGGATAGGAGCGGGATAGGAGCGGGATAGGAGCGGGCCAGGGGCCGAGGCAGGGGAAGGAGAGAAGGAAATGGTGCGGGGAAAATCGCGTAGACATGTATAATTGCGTTGTGATGAATTTGTACCTCGGCTTTTTAAGGAGGCAGCACGGACAAGTTGAGAGCGGACACGGATCCGGGAATCAATGTATTGTCGTCCCATAGCAGGCACCGGTCTACTTATTCCGTGCATCGGAGCCCGGGCCCCCCGGAGCTCCATGAACGCCAAACCCTAGGGGAAGGCGGGGAAGGCGGGGAAGGCGGAGAGGGGGAACTAGGATCTAAGGCAACAAGTGGGCCCGACCACTGCCCCTCCCGCCACAGCGTCTTCCCCCCTTCTGCACACCCCTCTCCTTTCCGACCACTCATAATCCCCGGTCGCCCATCTTCTCTCCCCCGGCGGGCCCCCGCCCGCCCCGGGCCTCCCTCCTCGGACTCCCCCCCTTAAAGAGGGACTCCCACCCCCCGGCACACCCGCGCCATCACTCGCCTGTCAGCACGCTTCCCATGGCATTGGCAAACGCCGCAATGACACCCATGGTGTTAAGCTGCCCCGACATGCCGATCAGCACCGCAAACCAGACCAACGTGTCCCAGGCGGGCGTGTAGCTCAGGCACTCCCGCCACGTCAGCACCCCCGTACACAGCAGGCCGCACAGCCCCAACATGGCAGCCAGGACCGGGGTTATGCCCAGCTGCTCCCCGAACATCCACATGACCAGCGCAGCACCCATCACGACCGCCATGATGGACTCGTCTCGAGACATGGGGCCCATGACCTGGGAATGTGACCCGTGGGTCGCGGTCACATGGCGCAGGGTACGGGGCCGGGATGTTGATGTGATGTGATGTGGTTCAGTCACAAGTCAGTCACACTAGGTCAAACAAAAACAAATCCAACTGCGGACGGGTGAAGAGATGCGAGGGAACGAGGTTAGGGTTGGGGCACTACCTGGTAAAGGAGAGCCGGTTGCGATGCGATGAGGGTTCCTTGCCGCTCAGGGCGGCGAAGCGGTGTAGAACCGCTCATGTAGTCCACAATGCTGGAACGTATGTGGTCCCACCGCAACAACTCTATCGTTCCTTTTGGTCGTTAGTATCCTTTATCACTTGCTTTGTTTAAAGTGCGAGCTAGGATGGTGCTTGTAGGCGATCTGGCAGCCCTTTGAGCCCTCGGCTCGTATTAGGGCGGTTTGCAGGAACGGGGAACTCGCCCACGACCATGTAACAACAACAACAACAACAACAACAATGCGTTCATTTCCGCTTCCAGTTATTTGGAGCTGCACTTTCCCTCCCTCCCCACGCACACACACGGCGAGACCCTAGGGACCCGCCGCCCCCGCGTTGTTCCGACTGAAAAGGTAATCGACCGCTATAGCGAGTTCCGCTGTTCCTAATTCCGAACTTATCGTACACGCCCGTGCGCTCATTCGTGTTGCCTATGCCAGGTACCTTGAGCCGCTCCGCCGCCGCCGCAGGCGCCTCCGGCGTGTCTTTAATAGTGGGCGGCATCATCTTGTAAAGCAGCAGCGGGGTGGCGATCATGCCTGCAACCGCAACAGCACACACACCTGGCACATAAAACCCTGACCGTATTGACACCCGGTGCTCAAGAGGCCGCGAGGGTGCGAGCATGCGGTATATACAACAAGCTTGCGTGGCGGCGCGCGTGCGCGCGCTCGGAAACGCGACGTGCCGATCTCAGCTATAAGCCGCGGCTGAGAGTGTCATCATCAGTCCGTTATCTACCAACCGCCAACCACCTAACCAACTGCCCCGCTGTTCAAGAGCCTTGGTGACCAACCCACCTACGGTTGCCGGTACGACAGCTCCCAGGGCCCACGTGACGAATTGGTTGGGGACCACCGCGCCCAGCTCCCCGGCCAGTTTGAGGCACAGCAGGTTCTGAGCGGATGCGGTCAGGAAGTAGGAGGTGGAGTGGATGCCGGTTTGGAACTGGCTCTGCATCAGGTAGCTGCCCATGCGCTTTCGGGTGTCGTCACCTGCGGGGGCGGGGGGAATAGCAGGGTTTTTGACACGCCATGCCAAGTCAAGATGCCAGGCCTCCTCAAGTAGCTCCACCCTGCATGCCTCTCTGTCCACATCCCTCCCCAAACCCTCCCTAATCCGCATCCGCGCTTCCGCCCTCCCTTCACATCGCCCTCCCTCCCATTTTCCCCCACCCCCCATGTAGCCCCCATAACACACACACACATACACTCACCACCGCACATGCACACAGATATTACCCCCCTACCTACCGGGCTCGCTGCCCACACTGGCCGCCAAGCTCTTGATGATGGGCACGAAGATGCCCCCCGCCCGAGCTGACGTGGACGGCATGGCGGGGGCCATGAGCGCCTCAGCCACGTTGAGACCGAACGACAGCCCCAGAGTGGAGCGGCCCAGCGCGCGGACGAACAGCGTGGCGATGCGCTCCCCCAGGCCGGTCTTCTCGAAACCCTGGAGAGGCGGTGTTGAGGGAAAGACGAACCACAAACGAGTGAAGCTGCTGCCAGGGCAAGAGTGTACCCGACGTAGAACTGACCGAAAGGCGGTGTTGGGGGACGGAGAAAAAGCTATGTTACATGGCGAGACAAGGAAAGCAATTGCCGGCGTCGGTGTTGGAGCCCCGGGGGAAGGTAAGAAGCGCAAGGACTAGGACACGGCGAGGGAAGGCACGGCTCTGCGTGTGTGTGTATATCTGTGCGGGGAGAGGCCGGGTGGGGGTGGAGATGACACGAACCAGCGCCCACCAGACCCCCCCCCCGAGGGTCCCTAACCCGGACCATCCATCCTATCCTACCTTGGCGAAAAAGAACGACACCACGATGAGCCAGATGATTTCATTAGTGGTGGCGGCTAGGGCCTGAGCAAAGGTGAGCGTCTTGGTGGCCACTGCCACGGTCACTGCCAGGAAAGCCCAGGCGCCCACCGGCAAGGGGTCCAGCACCAAACCTAAAATGGTGGACACGAAGATGGACAACAGACTCCAGGCCTGGAATGAGGGGCAGGGAGTGTAGGACAGGACTGACGATTTAGCTGGCGATAAGAATGATGATTATGATTGGAGAGGAGCTTCAGGGTCAACAACTACATGGGTGCGTGCACAGTCAGCTGAGCCGTAGCCCATCAACTTCCCCAGTCTTCCCCACCCCACCCCCCTCCTTCCCCCCACCACTCATTGACAGACACAAGATATTACATGTGG